TGTTATTGAATATGACAATTGTGTTGTAATGATATGCTTCTTCTAAGTATGTTGTTATTAAATAAATCATTTTTAAAAATTTAAAAAAAATACATTAGAGCAAAAAAAGAAATAAAAATGAGCTACTGAAAAAATAAAAAAAAATAATAGAATTAATACATTAATTTATTTTTAAATAATTATTTTGTGATATAAGTCTAATCACTACAGTAAATAAATAAGCCTCGATTTAATTCAGAGGTTTTAAGATTCAAGAAAAAGCAAATCTTAGAAGCACTCAAAATTCATTAAATTTTGGTGTATAAAATGAAATTCCTGAAGGAAGGTTAGTAAATATAGAAAGAATTGTACTTTATGAGGAAGGGAAACCAATGAACTTTAAGAACATAGCTGTTAATTGGGGGATTAGTTTGACCTAAAGGGATTTGGAAAGGATCTTTAAGAAAATAGCCATGGAGCTGTGGTGAGTTATGCACAAGTGATAATCATTTATTTTAATTTAATCTTCTGCTTTTCTGATATTGGTTGTTTGTTGGCAGCAAGTTTCAGGAGAATTGAAGTGATACATGATTTAGCTTAGAATAAATTGAAAAAAATTTAAATACTTTATCAAAATTGGTAAAGTTTGATACTGTGCTGTATCAAACTTCCCAATTATAGTTGACCATCTATTTCTGTAGCTATCTGAGCTACTTATATAATCTATTTGTTGTCTATCATCTACTTTTCAATAAATGCCAGAAGATGAGACAGTGTGCATGTATTTAGATATCACACCAAAACATTTGATAAGATAAAGAATAATTCAGAATACTTTTAGTACTTACTTTTAAAAGTCTTTAGTATTGAAAAATATACATAAATGTGATAAATTGTTCTTATTATGACAAGAAAGGGATTTTTTAAATTAATATTAAGTGCTCTGACCATTATCCAATTGAATGTAGTTTGTATTCTAACTGCTGGGAAGAAGCATAGAAATTTTCTAATAGTAACATCACTATGCATTCTGTGTACTATGAACATAGTGGAGGTATTCTCTGGAATTAACTTCAAATAAAATGTGGCTTGCATCTTCATAACTATTTCTTGTTGTATATGATAATGTGTGCATTGGATTGCACAATTATAAATACACCTGGATATTTATTCTAAAAGAAAGTCATTGAGGTATTCTCACACTGCCTCTACAAAGAATCCTACAGTTTGATCTCCTATTGTATATCTGTACTTCTCATATCTTTTGCAATCCAGTGTTTATAGATCTGGGATTAAGATAAAGCTGGAGAGAGTTGGGGAGACCAGAGACAGCCTACATTTCAATTGTTCTTATGAAAAATAGAAGAGAGCTTGACAAGGAGGAATATATTATTCTTTGCCATCAACTTTGAACTAAAAACTTTAGTTCAAGTGCATAAAGCTTTGATCAGAGTTGTCCTTAATATTCAGTAAATAAATGGAAGTTTAACCTTCAAATCATGTGAAGGCGAGCAGAAGACAAAAGTGCAGCTCCATTAAAAAACCACAGCAGAACTGTTAGGGGAAGCTTTGCTATAACACCATGGTCTCTAGTGCTACATCCTGTGAAGAATATAACACTGTCATTACAATAGTGTTTTACCCAGGATTTGGACAGTAGTAACCAAAAAGAAAAGGCAAACATTTCCAAGCTGCCTTGAACCCTCTTCAACCTGAGATGTACCTATCTTAATACTGTTTTATTTAAAGCCAGCAGAGAGGGGCTAAAGAGATGTTTCAGTGGTTAAGAGTGCATACTGCTCTAGCAGATCACTCCAGTTCAGTTCCCAGTACCCATGTTGGGCGACTCACAACCCTCTGTAATGCCATTTCCAAGGGATTTGGTGCCCTTTTATGGCCTACGTGGGACCTGTACTCACATGCCCATACCCTCACACAGACATATATACATATGTATATATGTATATGTACATATTTAATTTTTTTAAAAAGGTACTTGGGCTACTGTAGAAACAAGTATTGAAAAAGTCTACTACAAATGAAATGTGTCTAAAATTATATAATTCTTCTGTTGCTACTTTCATCTGTGTCTCATGCATACTCAACCCCTATATACTTGAAACAGTAAAATGCTATTGAGTGTTAACACACAATGGTTTGCATCTAAATACAAAGTTTATAAGCCAACATTTGCATTTAATTAATCCTAATTTAAGTACAAATATTTCAACTTCTGTTCACTCTTTTGCCTACTGATTTTATTTTCTTTTGCCATGAGTGTTTCTATTTTAATGATTTTATTTTGCTTTCCAGGAGGGGTTCAAAATGGGACTAACTCTTGAAGGCACAGTGTTTTGTCTCGACCCATTAGACAGCAGGTGCTGATGTCAGGATGGGAAATCCTGAACCATGGTGAATTTTATACATATGTATTGTTCATTATTTTAAGACAGCCATTGTACTTGTGCCAATATATTTTTGAATATATAAATATTTTGAAATGTATTGCAGTAAAATATGTTCAAGATCTCTGTTGATATGTCATCTTTTATTTTAAAGAGCTTAATGTAATGTATGTCATACTTACTTGTTCCTTTCTATTTGTGTTATGGGAAAATTTATAACTGAAAGACAAGTTTTCCAAATATCTACCTTGTCTGAGTTCTACATAATCATCACCTGAAATTTGTGCTTTTTCTTTAGGCTGATAGTTGGTTATCCATGTCCCAAAAGCCATGCCTTGATAATATCTTCAAATTTCTGGAGAGCTAGACCAATGCCAAACTACATGTGTCCTGTTTTCAAGCCAAAAATCAGATTATCAGTCATGAGACAAATATCATTTTATGTATAAATGTTCATGTCATTATGAAAATATAAACAATGAATATTATGCCACCAGTCCACTAAATTTTATCTGGTAAAATTGAAACATAAGTTCCAATAGTAATAATGTAAAGTACATTCAGAATGTTAGTAGATGGTTATTGTAAGTTATACTCTAAAATGTTTGATTTTTCTCATAAGCAGCAATTGTGGAAAAACTGCTACCTTTAAAACACTTAAAATTTTATTCAGAATGTGTTGTCATATCGCTATAACATCTGACCATCATCTAATATTTTAAAAACAAGAATGTGTGCTTTCTACAGGTCCAACGCCTATTATTTATGTTTATTTTATCAAATATTTCTCAGCTTTTCTCCTGTGATAAAAATATTTTTGTCACCAAAGCTTGTTTTTACAATGTTACATTAGTTTTGAGACTTCAAAATTTCTGACAACCATTCTATTTAAATTAAAAATATTGGGAAAATTTAATTTTCTTTTCTTTTGTTAAAGTCAAAATCTCATTTTTCACAAAACTTAGGTTGCTGATCAGCTTCACCTTGAATGTGAGCAATAAAGTTCTCTGATACCTCATTCTTGATGTGCTGATGAACCCTGACTTTTGAAACATATGCTTCTAATATCTTTGCCAATTATGTAACAGACTAGCAGCAATAGTGCAGAAAATGCTTATGGTCAACATTTCTAATTTGGTTTATCATATTATAAGAGAAATAAATTAAATTAATAAAAAATCTGTACTTAGTTTGGAGATGGTTATCAAAACTAAATTGATGATTCTTTTAGTCATGGGAATTTTATGCAAGTGCTAAAGGTACATTTTCCCTAGGAACAGATATCAAATATGCTTATGCAATATTATATGTGTGTGCATTTCTACCATGTTCTATGGTATATATGAGTCTTTGTGTTTATGATACCTGCAAAGTTGTACCTTAATTAGAGGATAGTGTGTGTTTCATGAGAAAGAGTCTTTATAATTTTGATTGTCATATAGTATTTTGAAATTTGTATAATAAGAATGTTTAGAAGCCAAATAAATGGCTTTTTTTAACAGATAGAATTTGTATTTTTATTGTACTTTAAAAAGCTTTATGTAATAGGTATATATTTAGCAACCATTTATTATCAATTGTAACACAATAGCATACTCAGAAGATATTTGCACATTTAAGATATGCTACTTTACCAATTTTGATGGTAATCAGTTCTGCTACTGGCATGATCAAATAGTACATAATTGGTCATTAATTATGAACATTTATTTCACCAGTGCATTTTTATGAAGTCATGATTGGAAATTGTATTTCTATGTAAACTCAATGATATGTTTGATTCGCTGAGAATAAAAGATTTTAAATAAATTAAACTGTGTGGTGCATTCATTAATAATCTGTAGATACATACTGGAGCTATGTATCTAACTTTCTTATTCATTAATTGGGGAGGGAGCAAGAGGGAGAAAGAGAGAGAATTTTGCTTTCAACTTAATTTCTCTAATTCCACACACAGTTTAGTGTATAAGTGAGCAGGATTCTCTTGTGCAAACTTGGACTGGTGCTTGCTGATGAGAGAGGTACCTTTCACCAGAAACATCTGCTGAAATAATAGTGTTATATAAATTTCATTTTTCAAAACTGGTGGCTTCTTTAGAGTGTCTTGGCTGATGGGCCTCTAAGTGTACTTGATAATAGGACTGTTGCACATTGTGCAATCGTGAAGAACTTTTGAACCCACTCAAGCATTGTGCTAAGCAAGTTAGCGACACACAGTTCTCATCTACACTGTGTTTGCACACTGAATAATTATTCAGTGATTTATTCAATAAGATTCATTTATCACTCACTTTATATTACTTACAAGTATTATATAAGTAAAAAGTATCTAGAAAATTTAATAATGCAGAATTACATCGACAGGATCTTTACTTTCAGTTAGGTTATTGTTATAAGAGAAAAATTAAGAAAAATATGGGTTAACAAATGAAAATCCCATGTGTATTAAAGTATCACATAAACCAAACACTTCCCTGGGAGCGTGACTAATCCAAACCAGCCTTAGCTGAGGATCTTTTGGTAATTGATAGATTCAGGGACAGGGAGAGTCGGTTTTCCTTATTGTTGTGATATCTGATCAGAATCCAAGGAGTAGACCCTAATCATTTAGGAAACAAAGATTATACATAATAGGTTTTTAAAATTTTTAAAAAGGAAGGACAAAGCCAGACGTGGTTCATGAGCCTTTAATCCCAGTCCTCTGGAGGCAGAGGCATGTGGATCTTTGTGACCAGCCTGGTCTATGTAGGAAGTTCCAGGCTACCTGGGATTACAGGGAGACCCTGTCTCAGAAAGACCAAAAAATGAAAATAAAGTAGAAAGAAAGGGACAAATAATAGAAGATATAATGTTTGGAGGGAGAGTAGCAAGGGGGTGGAGAGGGGCAGGGGGTCTAAATATGATCAAAATGCATTTTATGACATTACTGAGTCAATAAATATATTTCATTACTTAAAAAATTATTTTTATTTTATGTGTGTGAGTGTATTGCCTGCATGTATGCAAGTGTACCACATGTGTACAATGCCTACAGAGGCCAGTAGAGGATGTCAGATCCCATGGAACTGGAGTTACAGATGGTTGTTAGCTACCATGTGGGTGCTGAGAATGAAACCCAGGTCCTCTGGAAAAACAGTGAGTGTTCTTTCTTACCTGCTGACCCATCTCTCTAGCCCCCTAACAATAATTTTCAAATGGGCTATGAATCTGACCAAAGTTCTCAAAAGAAGAAATAAAAATTGCCATGAAATATCTTTAAAAGTGTTCAACATTCTTAGCAGTTAGAGAAGTGCAAATTAAAACTACTATAAGACTTCATCTTACTCTAGTCAAAGTGGCTGAGATTAAGAAAACAACTGACAACAAAAGCTGTTGAGGATGGGGAGAAAGGGGAATCTTCATTCATTGCTGGTGGGATCACAAACTAGTGCAGCTACTATGGAAATCAGTGCGGAGAATTATCAAAAAGCTAAAAGTACATCTACCATATGACTCAACTATATCACTTCTTGGTGATATATACCTAAATGAATCAATTTCCCACTACAAAGATTTATTGTCTCTCTTTTCACAATAGCTAGGAAATTGAAATAATCTAAATGTCCTTCAACTGATGAAAGGATAATGAGAATGTTGTACATTTACACAATGGCATTCTATTCATTCAAAAAGAAAAATGAAATTATGAAATTTGCAGATAAATGGATGGAACTGGAAAAACAGTACACTAAATAAGGTAGCCCACACTCAGAAAGACACACCCCGAATGCTCTTTCTTATTTGTGACTCCTAGCTCCGAATCTTTAGAAGTGAGTGAGTAAGCATATAACCTGAAGTAACTGCAGAAGCCAGTAAAGTGGAAAGACCGTGGGGCAGTGAGGGGAAAAGGAGCACTAGATTAGAGGATAGTAGGACACAGACAAAAGCACAACCAAGGAGGAAATGGGAAACGGGGAGGGGGGACTTTAACTGAGAAGAAAGGAAGGTAACACATAGGGAGAGGGGAGAAGAAGAGATAACAATTGGGATGTTTGGAAAAAATATAGAGAAGCATTTTATAAGTTTACTTAATAATACAGATATTGTGTGTGTGTGTGTGTGTGTGTATGTGTAGTCTAAAATTATGCCACATGGGGTGATAATGCTCCCCCCCAAGAGCCATAGACTATATAACAAAAATCCAAGTGCTAGGCAAGGGAAACCTCCCTTGGAACTATTGATCAGGGTAATTCAAAAACTCCTAAAACAATATAGGCTATTGCCATTGTCCTTGGTTGCTTCCTAGAACTTGAAAATAAGACCCTATTTTAATGACAAGCACACACTTCAGATATAGAAGTTGAAATGATTGAGCTGGAACCAGTTCTCAGTTCTCATAATTATCAGAAGGTAGTATGTAAGCTGCCAAGGGAGAAAAGCAATCAATAATCCTACTTAGCTGTAAAATCTATGAACCACAACAACCAGCTCAGCAAGACATGCCCAATGGCACAATAATGACTTTTTTTTTTAAATCTTGGAATAATAAATATCTCTCTAATTGGATTTAAGGCCTGCTTAGTAGAAGGGAATTCATAGCTGATACTGTGAACCTAACCAAATACCTGCAACTGGAAGGATCATGGACAGTAAAGGAGAATATACACTGCCATTTCCCTAAACCATTATAATTTCAGACCGTATTCTAGAACTTATCCTTATACCCACAGACAGGTGTAGCTCTCACCCTGTATCAAAAATACTCCTTTTGTGCAACAATGGAGACTATTATAGAGGGCTATAACTGGTTAAAATGCAGAGAGTATGTGTCTATGCATAGAGTGCCCAACCCTAATCAATATATTTAAAATGTAACCCCTGCACTCAAGGCTGAGGGAACATCTCAGAAGAAAAGGCTGAAAGATTGTGAGAGCCAGAGATGCCTGTTACTAAATCAGGTCTTTCAGGTATGATAGAGAAGCTGCACCCATGAAATTTCAACGATATGGCTGCCTAACAAGATCCTGAATAATGACAACAGCAACTGACATGTCAACATGAATGGGACAAATTTCACAAGACCTCATGTCTAGATGAAGAGCTATAGGAAATCAACAGCTACTGAGAAAGGGAGAATCAGTTTTCTCCAGGGATTAGCTCCTTGATAAATTATCCAGTCTGGTGGTCTCACCTAAACACATGTACATACAAACAACTCTTAATGGACTCTCTATGTTGTATATATGCATGTATACCCATATGACAACAGTAAAGGGGATAATAAAAAAATTAAGAAGGAGTTGGACAGTACCTGGGAGGGGAGGAGAGGTGGACATTATGGAAATAGAGTACTAGTGTCTGAAATTCTCCAAAAAAAATTTTTTTAAAGAACCTTGGGCCAGAAAGATGATTCAGTGGGCACTTGCTTCCTACCCTGATTATCTCAGTTTGAGCCCCAGAATTTAAATGATGGAAGGAGAGAACCGACCCCTTCAAGTGCTGCTCTGGCCTCCACATGTATGCTACGGCACAACCCACATTTACGCACACATATGCACAGACAAATAAAATATAAAAAATTTAAACTATAACAAATCTTTAGTCTCATAATGGAAATTCCTATTGAGATAAAATTTTTGATAGGTTTTTATGATTCTACGTGTCTAAATGCCGATACTTTCTACTTTTTGATGTTACCATAACCATGAAAAAATATTGACTGTTAATATTTTTCTATCCCAGTATTTCCATCTGTAGTTCCAACTTCAATATTTACTCATGATTTTGGGTCTCAGCCTCTATTAAATTACTTGTAGGATCTTGGACTGAATTTTGACAATTAAATCTATGACTCCACCTAGGCAAGCAGCTAATAGACTACCTATGTGGTTGTGAATGGTAACTCCCTCCATTCCTGTGCCTTCTACAGTTAGGATCTTCCCCCTTTATAATTCAAGGCAAATCTTTGAAGCATTTGCTCTTCAACTCCCCATATAATATGTCATAAACAAGACAAAAAACATAATTCTTAAACACTTCAATCATGTTTTGATCATATAGCTTTATCTAAACAACATGGTACCCCATACCTGGAATTCTATTCATAAAAGCATTTTGAATTCATTCAAAGTAGAATTCTTCTACTTTAGCAAGATATTAATTCCTGAGTTCATTTGTACACTTCTATTTTTGTACTTTCAAAAGAATTTCTATGAAATATGAATATTACTTAAATACTAGGCTGCTGTCTTTTAAATTCATTTTTGTCAACTTTATTTCATTATTTTAAGCAGCACTTTACTTAAATCAAAGTTAACTAATATATAAGATGTGGTACACTAGAAATGAATTGAGAAGTACTTTCTCACTTTTATGTCCTTAAATGATAAACAGAAATGGCTGAATTTCTTATTTCTGCAACACGAATGTGCTTCGTGTCAATAGTAACATTATATTTGTTTAATAAAAATTTCCAAAGTTTACAGGCTTAATTTATATTTTGTGGGTTGACTATGTGCTGCTGCCATCATGGTGATGCCTGAATAAAGACAACCTGACTCTTAGCATCCATTTTAGCTGAGAGTGAACTAAAATGTTTTTGACAACCTGTTCCTTCAGAATTATCTGGGAGCTATGCTCCTGAACAAAGGTTCACTCTTTCATCCAGCATTAAATGTGGAAGTAAAATTGAACCTTTTTCTTATCAGAGGATTATTTCCTTTCTGACCCCTACAGGCCTAGTATTGCACTCACAGGACCACAAGTAGATGTTATCAATTTAATTTTATCTGTTGTTTGCAACACAAATGGGA